TCTATTTTTTTTTTTTTTTTTTTTTGAGACAGAGTCTCACTTTGTTGTCCAGGCTAGAGTGAGTGGCCATGGCGTCAGCCTAGCTCACAGCAACCTCAAACTCCTGGGCTCAAGCAATCCTGCTGCCTCAGCCTCCCGAGTAGCTGGGACTACAGGCATGCGCCACCATACCCAGCTTATTTTTTCTATATATATTAGTTGGCCAATTAATTTCTTTCTATTTATAGTAGAGACAGGGTCTCGCTCTTGCTCAGGCTGGTTTTGAACTTCTGACCTTGAGCAATCTGCCCACCTCAGCCTCCCAGAGTGCCAGGATTACAGGCGTGAGCCACCGCACCCGGCCTAGAGTTCTATTTAATACGGCACCTTTAAACTTCCTCCTTCCCACCCATTAGCCCAGGCAGCACCCATCATCAACGTATGAAGCCACTTATTCTCGGCTGTGGTAGTTCTCTGGAGTCATCCCATATTCTGTGGGCAGCAGCACACCAATCATTCAAGAGAGGAACGGGCGCCCCCGCCATGGCAACTACTTGTCAGTAGCCTCTGCCTCGGGGAAGGACATATCACTATGGATGCCAATTTGCTCATCTCCCTCGGGGTGTGGACGCTATCCCATAAGCGATGCAACCAGGCAGACAAGCCTTCCCCAGGGCGTTGTCTGCACTCTTTCCCCAGTTCCACAGCTCTGCAGGCATGTGAGCAGAGTAAGAGATGCGTCCGTTCTCGTAGGCCTGCCACGCACCAACCCCAGGGCCCATGGGTTGCACACGCTCCATTTTTTGTTTCACAACTGGGGGCACTCGGCAGGGGATGTACTCGTGCCACAAGAGGTTGAGAGTCTTATCCAAGGTAGCACGGTGGGTTAGGGCTACATTGTCCAATATGGTAGCCACTTGCTGCACATGGCCTTGAAGTTCTTGAAATGTGGAGTGACGAGTTAAAATTTATTTTATTTTATTTTATTTTATTTTATTTTATTTTATTTGAGACAGAGTCTCACTTTGTTGCCCAGGCTAGAGTGAGTGCCGTGGTGTCAGCCTACTCACAGCAACCTCAAACTCCTAGGTCAAGCGATCCTCCTGCCTCAGCCTCCCAAGTAGCTGGGACTACAGCATGCGCCACCATGCCCGGCTAATTTTTTCTATATATATCAGTTGGCCAATTAATTTCTTTCTATTTATAGTAGAGATGGCGTCTCGCTCTTGCTCAGGCTGGTTTTGAACTCCTGACCTTGAGCAGTCCGCCCGCCTCGGCCTCCCAGAGTGCTAGGATTACAGGGGTGAGCCACCACGCCCAGCCAAAATTTAAGTTTAAAAGTTTATACTTAATCCAGTTATTGGAAAACTTCGAAATGTGTTTGGAACAACATGGATATGTGAATCTTCTTTTCAACGAGTACAGTCTCCTGTGTACTTGTGGTTTTGTGGGCATCCACGGCCAAAACACTCATTAGCTGCTTTTCCAAAGCCTGCACTCAGGCTTCCAGGTTTTCCTCTGTCACTTGCATTCTCTTACCTGGGCTTCTTGCCCGCAGGGTGTCCCCGTGCTGCTCATGGAGGGCTGTAAGGAAGAGCCAGCCTACCCGACCAGCCTCTGCTCTCTCCCCAAGCTGCGGTGACTCTTCCAAGGGTGGCAGGTGTACACTCCACCTGCTCCCACTCCCTGACAGGGGCCCACGACATGAGAACCGCTGCCACTGGGTGCCATGGCCTCCTTTACTGGGCTGGAGGGGACACTTGGCCCAGCTGCTGAATCCTGCCAGCTATGCCAAATGTGGGGAGGAAGCTCTCCGGAATAGGTTTCGGAAATTGAAAGAAGACACGAGCAGGAGGGTGCAGATAACACATATTCTTTATTGTCGGGGGCATGCAGCATGCAGCAAGAATATGGCAAGCGCTTATCTATGGCTCAGAACAATAGTGGCAACATGCCAAGCAAAAATGTGATCAGATGGGTTCAGTAGGAGATAACACCTTGGTTATGTAAGTGTGCTGACTTATGCTTCCACAGAAAGCCAGCTTGCTGGAGGGCCAGGCCACAGAAAACACTCCGGCGGTCATCTTAGTTTGACCTAAGAAACCTATTGCCTATTCAAATGAATCTTTCCCTTACAGGACTCTCCTTCACATACATAATTGCAGGCTCATGAAGGAATATTTTAACATAAAAAAGTAATTTCTGTGAAAAACATTAGCTAAGGTATTCCACAATGTAAATATACTTCGAAACATCATTTTGGGCCAGGAGGGATGACTCACCCCTGTAATCCTAACACTTTGGGAGGCTGAGGCTGAAGGATTGCTTGAGGCCAGGAGTTTGAGTACAGCCTGAGCAAGAGCAAGATCCCATATCTAAAAAATACCCCAAAATTAGCTGAGAGTGGTGGCCTGTGCCTGTAGTCCCAGCTACTCGGGAGGCTGAGGCAGGAGGATCGCTTCGGCCCAGGTGTTTGAGGTTGCAGTGAGCTATAGCAATGCCACGGCACTCTAGCCTGGGCAACAGAGTGAGACTCTGTCTCAGAAAAAGAAAATAATGTCACACATCCACCACTTCTTCAGTATGATCCAGAATATTTTCTCTGCCCTAAAAATCTCATGTACTCCACCTATTTTACCCTTCCTCCCTCCTCCCCAAATTCTAGGCGACTACTGATCTTTGTTCTGTCTTTACACTTTCATCTTTTCCAGACTATCATATATTTGGAATCATACCTTATATAGGTTTTTCAGACTGGCTTCTTTAACTTAGTAATAACATTTAATGTTTCTCCATATCTTCCTGTGATTTGGTAACTCATATCTTTTTATTGCTGAATAATATTCCGTTGTATGGATGTATCACAGTTTGTTTATCAATTTGTCAGTTGAGGAACTTCTTTGTTGCTTCCAAGTTTTGGCAATTATGACTAAAGCTGCTATAAAGATTGGTATATAGGTTTTTGTGCAGATATAAATTTTCAGTTCATTTGGGTTAATACCAAATGGTACGATCGTTTGATCATTGGGAAGAATATGTTTAGCTTTGTAAGAAACTGCCAATATGTTTCTCAAAGTGGCTGTATCATTTTGCATTCCTGCCAGCAATGAATGAACGTTCCTGTTGCTCCACTTCCTTGTTAGTGTTTAGTGTTGTCATTGTTTGGATTTTAGCCATTCGAATAGGTGTGCATACTGGTATCTTTTTATTATTTTATTTTATTTTGATACAGAGTCTCACTCTGTTGCCTGGGCTAGAGTGCCGTGGTGTTAGCTTAGCTCACAGCAACCTCAAACTCCTGGGCTTGAGCAATCCTCTTGCCTCAGCCTCCCGAGTAGCTGGGACTACAGGCATGAGCCACCATGCCCGGCTGATTTTTTTCTATATATTTTTAGTTGGACAATTAATTTCTTTCTATTTATAGCAGAGATGGGGTCTCGCTCTTGCTCAGGCTGGTTTCCAACTCCTGACCTTGAGCAATCCTCCCACCTGGGCCTTCCAGAGTGCCAGGATTACAGGCGAGAGCCACTGCACCCGGCCTCTTTATCATTTTAATCCGAAATTTCTAGTGACATATGACATTGAGCGTCTTTTCATATGCTTACTGGCTATGTGTATATCTTCTTTGGTGAGGTGTCTGCTCAGATATCTTTTGCTATTGATAAATTGGGTTGTTTTTATTCTATTGTTGAATTTTAACTGTTCTTTGTATATTTGGAATACAAGTGTTTTATCAGATATGTGCCTTGCAAATATTGTCTCCCAGTCTGTGGCTTGTATCTTCATTCTCTGGACAATGTCTTTTGCAGAATAGAAGTTTTTTTTTAATTTTAATGAAATTGGACTTACTGTTTCTCTGATACAACCTGCTTTGGATACAGTATCTAAGAAGTCATCACCACATCCAAAGTTACCTCAATTTTCTCCTGTTATCGCCTAGAGGTTTTATATTTTATCTTTAGGTCTACAATACATTTTGAGTTACTTTTTTGTGTGAATGCTTCTAAGGGGACATACACTACCTTGTTTGAGAGTAGGCAGGCGATTCTGAAACTCTTAGCTGCGTCCTACGGCAGACTCCCCATCCACCAGCGAGAGCCCCTCATTCACAACCACGCAGCAGAAAACGTGCTCGAGGACTTGCTGGGCACTCCTGTTCCTGAGACCTCAGACACACACTTAAAGCTTCTGAGGCTGAGCTTTGTAAAATGGGCATGAACACTGTTCCCCTTCGCCTAGGTGTGCGAGCATTTAGCGAGGTGAACGTGCAACACCTTTAGCACAGAGCTTACACGGAGAACCTGCTGTTTATTATCATTCGGACCACACTGTAAGTCTTCCCTCCCTCTCACCCCAGCACTGAAGCACCTATCAGGGTGAAATGATTCGGTTCCGTGCCGCCTTTGCCTTCATTCCACCTGGCCTTCCTTTCCCCAGCCCCCTTTCCGCGACCCCGCCCCTCCTGCTACTAGCCCCGCCCCTCCTGCTAGCCCCGCCCCTTCCCACCCCTCCCTTTCACCCCGCCCATGAGCCCTGCCCCCACACAGCCCTGGCTCAGCGAGGCAAGAAACTCATGGTGTAGTTTCTTGGGATGGTAGATAAGCCCACGTGCATGGGGGACACATCGATGTCCTCAGGCGACTGCGGGGACTGGAAGCGGAAGTTCTGCATGATGGTGGTGAGGAAGAGGAAGAGCTCCATCCGAGCCAGGCCTTCTCCTAAACAGGACCGCTTTCCTGAAGAGGAGAGGTGGCAGGGGAGGAGGTGAAGCCCACTCTCACTCCGCCTCGCCCCGCTGCGGCCCTCCAGCTGCGATCTCCCAGGGAGACTTTGGGAGGCGGCTCTGAACTGTCTGAGCCGCTTTCCCTTGCACGAGACGTGGGGGGTCTGGGCCAGGCTGCAGCAGTGGGAAGTTCAGGCGGCCCTCACTGCCAAATACGCTCTCAAATGTGGCTGCTGTGCTGTCCTCTCCTTTTTAGAGACCTGAAAAATGTGCGATATGACCTGGGACAAACCTCTCCTTAACTATGGGCCTTGATTTCCCCATCTCTGCAAGGGGCATGCCTTCCCTTTTGCCTGGGTACAGGTACTTGGGGCTTGGTAGCTATGGGAGCATCAGCTGCTTGGCTCAAGGGCGGATTCTAAGAGGCAGCTCCAGGCTGGAGAAGGATACCGGGCTACACCGCAGTGAGGGCAGAGGCCGCCCCCTGTTGGTGCGAGCGGTGGCCTGAGGGTCTTACCAATGGAGAAGGGCACAAAAGCGTCACTCTTCTTAAACTGCCCCTTCTCGTCCAGGAAGTGCTGGGGATTAAAATCTCGGGGGTTGGAGAAGAACTTGGGGTCTCTGAGCACGGAGCCCAGCATAGGGAACACTTCGGTGCCCTGGTGGGGAGGGGGAAGGCGTATTTGTTAAGGGGGTTGAGGGCCTGGTGTCCTGAAGGCATACAGGGGACAGAGGGGGAGTGTGGGTTCCCCAGGGGAAGAGAAATGGGAAGCTTGGGAGCTGGGGTCCCCTAAGGGAGGAGCTTTGGGGCAACTAAGGTTCATGTCCCTCAGACAGGAAGTTTGGGGACATGGGGTTGATTCCTCTGACGCAAAAATTTCGGGGTGACATAGGATTCCCGAGTCTGTGAGTGGGAAGGTTGAAGGGACATGATGGTGTGGAAGTCTTTGATGGAGGGACTGGAACAGGGGTTGGAGAACTCATGGGGTTGGGGTGCTGGAGTTGGGGAACTCTCATGGGGATGGGGTGCTGGGGGCCCAGGGAGTGGTTGGAGTGGGGGCCATACCTTGGGGAGGAAGAAGTCCCGAAACTTGGTGTCCTTGGTCACCCTGCGGGCCAGGCCCATGGGGCTTAGGTTTCCGAATCTTTGGATCTCGTGGATCACTGCCTCCGTGTAGGGCATTTTGGCCCGGTCCTCGAACTTGGGCTGCCGGTTCTTGCCGATGACCTGGTCAATCTCCTCATGGACCTTGGCTGGGGGAGGAGGAGGAATGTGCTTAGGCGTCTAGGGGTCTCAGAGTAGGGACGGGTAGTCCAAATAGGTAAAATGTGATGGATTACACGGATCTGTGTGTGGCATGAATGTAGAGCATTCAAAATAGACGTTGGCCATATGCATTTTGGAACAATGTCCTTCCTGTTAACCTGGTCATGTCAGAAGCATGGGGGACATGCAAAGTAGGAATCTTAGGTGATGATCTGGAGGCGCAGGCAGTGAGCAGTCAGTGGACTTAGCACGGGAGTGATTTACCAATGAGTTCAGACAATTTCAGAATTCTAGCAGCTACTGAGACTCAGCTGATGCCTATGAGCTGACTATTGCCCTGACTCTGGAGAGCATTCTGTGTGTGAGGGTCCAGGGATCTGGGAGGGGCGGGGACATTGCATCAGGCTCAGAGCACTTTTGGGGGGTCTGTGGTCCTCTACATCCCCCACCCCTCTAGCCTTACCCTCCACATCCGAGTGTTTCATGAGCAGCAGGAAGCCATAGCGCAGGGTTGTGCTGACGGTCTCCGTGCCCGCGAAGAAGAGGTTCAGCGTGGTCAGCACCAGGTTCTTCATGCAGAACTCCGTGTTGGGGTTCTTCTTCTCCTGCAGGGGGAGACAGCTTTAGGCTGAGCTTAGTCCCCATGCCCTTGGGACCCTTCTGGGCTTTTCCTATGGACCTACCTCTCTTAGATCCAGAACAAGGGTGGGAAAGGGAATC